ACGGACCGGGCGAGACCGCGCCAAAAGAAGCGGCGACGCACGCGGTCGTACGTCCGAGATACACCCAGATGACCAGCAGTTGGTTCATCGTGAAGCTCGTGCAGCACGGTTGAACGCAAATTTTTCGGCACAACAAGAAGCAGCTCAGGGCCATCTGGCTGGAGGCTACGACAGTACAGCGTGCCATTCAGGAGGACATACATGCGAAGTGACGTGTCGTTCGGAGCAGATTCGAGACGGTCAATAAGTTGTCGCAGAGAAGCATCACGGCGTTGTTCATCACGTATCTGAAGAAACTGGGACATTGACATGACGCTGAGGCTAGGCTCGATGTCTGGTTCGTCGGGCTGATCAACAGGGTAGCGGGATAAGCAATCAGCGTCCAGGTGGAGACGTCCAGACTTATAAGCAACCGAGTAGGAATACTCCTGTAGGCGTAATGCCCAACGACCAAGTCGTCCAGTGGGGTCCTTCAGAGAAGAAAGCCAACACAGCGCGTGATGATCTGTGATGACACGGAAAGGGCGGCCATACAAATAAGGACGGAATTTCGAAACCGCCCAAACAAGAGCGAGACATTCCCGTTCTGTTATAGAATAATTGCGTTCAGACTTAGAAAGCAGACGGCTTGCGTACGCGATTACACAGTCGTTGCCCCGCTGAATTTGCGCCAAAACTGCACCAATTCCGTGACCACTCGCGTCTGTTCGCACTTCTGTGGGAGCATCGGGGTCGAAATGTGCAAGAATAGGAGGTGTCGTTAGAGCAGTGATTAGCTGAGAGAAGGCGTCAGCTTGAGGAGGGCCCCAAGAAAATGGGACGTCTTGTTTGAGAAGGTCAGTGAGTGGCCGGGCGAGTGCCGCAAAGTTTTTCAAAAACCGGCGAAAGTAGGAGCAGAGGCCCACAAAACTGCGAACATCTTGGACAGAGCGTGGGACTGGGAAGTTTGTTACAGCGCGTACTTTCGCCGGGTCTGGCCGTACGCCGGCAGCGTCAACAAGGTGACCCAATACGGTAATCTGACGAAGACCGAAGTGGCACTTGGAGGAATTGAGCTGCAGGCAGGCCCGTCGAAATATGGATAGAATGGTCGAAAGGCGTTCAAGGTGGGTTGCAAAGGTAGGTGAGAAAATGATCACGTCGTCCAGGTAACACAAACATGTCGACCATTTAAATCCTTGTAGGAGCGTGTCCATCATTCTCTCGAAGGTCGCTGGAGCGTTGCAGAGCCCGAATGGCATGACCTTGAATTGGTAAAGACCGTCAGGGGTAACGAAGGCGGTCTTTTCTCGATCCATTTCATCTACAGCAATTTGCCAGTAGCCAGATCGGAGGTCGAGAGATGAAAAGAAGGTGGCGCCATGGAGGCAATCAAGGGCATCGTCAATGCGTGGTAGAGGGTACACGTCTTTTTGGTAATTTTGTTGAGGTGGTGATAATCAACGCAGAAACGCCATGAGCCGTCTTTCTTTTTTACTAATACCACGGGAGATGCCCAAGGGCTCGTTGATGGTTCGATTACGTTTTTCGTAAGCATTTTGGCCACTTCTTTCTGAATCACTTCTCACTCAGACGCTGACACGCGGTACGGCCGACGGTGAATGGGCGCAGAGTCACCAGTGTTGATTCGGTGAGTGACAATTTTAGTCTGGCCCAAGGGACGACCGTCAGTGTCGAAAATGTCACTGTATGAGGCCAAAACTTGGCAGAGGGCGTCGGCCTGGTGAGGCGACAGCTCCGATACAATCATGTTTCGAAAAATAGCATCGTCTGATCTGGGTGACCGTGAGACTGCGCTTCGATCAAGAGCAGATACAGCGACAACACTGACATCGTCCTCTGTTATGGCAGTTAGCTGGGCTAGAGACATCTGGCAGGGCAACACTTGAGGGGTAAAACCAAAGTTAAGGACCGGAAGTAACACACAGTTATCCGCTATGGTCGCGACGGTATAGGGCACAGTAACACTGCGCGTCAGTAATTGGCGTAACGATATAATCACCGTCAGGAACGGGAGGGGTCGATGACAGACACGTACGTGACGGCTCGAGGTGGCAGGCGAACGAAAGTGGTTGGGCTCAAGCGGCTGGTGGGCTTTGCAGAGTAGTCGGCAAAGATTGGTAGATCAAGGCTGAGTGTACCAGATGAACAATCAATTAAGGCTGAGTGTGCCGAAAGGAAATCAAGGCCAAGTATGAGGTCATGAGGGCAGCAGGCTAGCACGGCAAAAATGACCACGGCGTGACGACCGGCAATGCTGACACGAGCAGTGCACATTCCGATTACTGGTACAGTACCCCCCTCGGCAACACGTATTGCCTGCGTCGTAGATGGCATCATAATCTTTTGTAAGCGGCAGCGTAGAGAAGCGCTCATAATAGACAGGTGCGCACCTGTGTCAATGAGGGCGGTCACAGGAACATGGTCGACTTGTACTTCAAGCAGGCTATGGTGCGTGGGAAGCGTCAGTAGAGGATTTTCGGCCGTCATTGGTATTGCAGCTTCACCTCTATAAGCTGCAATATCTAGTTTTCCTGCTGCGGTCGTCCAGAGAAGCTCGGCGAGAAAAAGCGCCGAGGTGGCGGAGAGCGGGATTGGCGACGTAGCGGCGACGGGGAGCGAGAACTGCGGCGACCGGACGAAGGGGCATCAGGGTAGCGGCGACCGGGCAAAGGGGCGTCAGTGGAAGGCTCGTAAGATGACGACGAATAGAAATTGAAGGGTGCGGCGACTGAACGTTGAGGGGTCGTCGGATGCATGAGCGCCGAGGTAGAGAAAGTCTGACGTGGTTGGTTTGACCAACGGCGGCGGCAATAGCGAGAAACATGCCCAGGCTGGTGGCAGGAAAAACAAATAGGCCGGTCGTCGGGTGTTCGCCATGCCGAAGGGTTACAGAAGGGCATTGTTGGAGGTGAACGGCGAGCGTGTCCTCGGGAGTAGGACGAGGCTTCAGGGCGAGTCAAGGGACATGCTGATGGAAGTCCGAGATTCGCAAACTCCTGCCTCACCACAGCTTGTATTAACGCCACTGACGGCTGTTGTTGGTCAGAGGCGAGCGTTGCGAAAACGGGTGGCTCAAGAGGAGCCGGACAGGCGGCTTCGATTTCCCGACGAACAATGCGTGTGATGTTGTCATACGTGGGGGACTGGCGGGCGGCTTCACACGATGAGGTCGCGGCCGTGTTGGGTAGCCGGGTGAATCGCTGAGTAATACGGCGGCTCTTGGCTTCTTCGAACCGCCGGCACTCTTTAATGATGGCGTCGACGGTGGCAACGTTGTTGTAAACTAGAAGATTAAATGCGTCGTCTGCTATGCCTTTCAGCACATGGGCCACTTTCTCCGACTCACTCATGTGCTCGTCAATCTGGCGGCATAGGGCGATGACGTCGTAAATGTACGCGACGTACGACTCCGTCGACGTCTGTGCACGAGCCGCCAGTTGATTCCGCGCTGTGATCTGCCGCCCAACAGTGTCGCCAAAAAGGTCGCGGATCTTCTCTTTAAAGGAGTCCCAGCTCGTAATCTCCGCTTCGTGCGTCTCGAACCACACTCGCGGTGGGCCATCGAGGTAAAGAAGCACATTGGCAAGCATAAGAGTCGGGTCCCACCTATAGCTTGCGCTGACCCGTTCGTACCGGTTGATCCATTTGTCGACGTCAACGCCATCCTGACCGGAAAATACACCGGGATCACAAGCAGGAGGCAGAACGACGTATGTAGAAGTCACGGTAGGGGCAGGCGAAGACGATGGTTGTTCAACCTGTGACATGGTTGGACCTATGATGATGCGGCCGTTGCGGATCTTCGTGATGAAGACGGGGAAGTACCCAGCACGTTCACCAAAAAGATGTTACGTGAAAATGACACGAGGCGTGTCTATTTAAAATCTATATTTAAACTGATGCGTATGGCGTCGGCTAAGATGGAAGCAGCTCGCACAACCAACAGACCACTTCCTCGTTGTCGTCTTCTGACTGCTGATACGTCAGCTACGTAGCAATATGATAACGGTCGTCATAAAATCTAAGCGGAAAATTTCCATTCACCTAAAATGTCCCATACTTGTAGGTCAAATGCAATGCAGGAAGCTAGATATAGGCTGGACATCAATTCTCAGCTAACTTGCAATGAGGAAACCATCCAAGCCGCCCAAACAGATGACCTTGTGGATATTCACATAAGCAGTCCACAAATGCAATGTGAGAATGTAGACTGGGAGCATGATGAACGTTTAAGCTTGATAATAGTACAAGAAAAAACTCGCAGCGAGCAGCAGCATGGTGTCCCGCCACAGTATGTCGCCCCAGCTGACGATGCACCGAGTAGTGCAAAATCTGACTACAGCGCCGCTAGTTCTTGCGAAGGCCGTTCACCCCACCCTCCTCCGCTGGCGGAGATACAGAGGTTTGAAACTGAGTCTCTTGTAGTAATTTCGCAACAAAATGTATAACTGTGCAGATGCGTGTGGCACCTTAAAAACGCCCAGTGGGTACTTCTCAAAAGTACTTGCACTAGGCATTCTACAGTGAGTTTGAAATGGCTAACGTTACATGCACTGATGTTTGTTTTTTGCTGCACGACTAAGGTGTCCACCGAAAAGAAAAGCGATGCCAGGCCAGCGGTTGAGAAGACAATGCAAATAAAGCCCGATTACACAATAGCGTTCTACTTTTGAAGGCAAAGTTCAGGCGTTCAACTTTTTGTTTCCTTGTTCCAAATACCAGGCAGAATAGACCAAATTTCACTAAACATAAATAAGTGCCTTCAATATGGCATAAGGCAAGGAAGCGCTGGAAATGCTTTGTTGTGTTCTCTTCTTGCCCTCAGTGTTTTATCTCCGCACTATTCTTTTTTTTAATCTGCCATGCACAAACAGCCAGTGTAAACCCAATACTGCAAAATTTTGCTCTGCAAATAACATCACTACATCGAGGTATGAACGTACCGCACATGCACAAAATATATGTGCACAATTTCAAAACAAAAAATAATATCTTACCAGCATTGCATGGGTGAAACAGAGGCAAATGATGCAAAGTGCATAATAGATGTGCCTTGCACATGGTGGCCGGACAGAGTAAAAGAATGCAAGAATAAATGTAATCTGAAATGGGGAAAAGAAGAATAGTTAATACAATTGCGCACAGAGTGCCACGAAACAAAAGTTACTCGCTTGAGTATGTGTCAACTGCCAGAAAGTTAAGACGATTTGACTAGCTAGTCGGCAGCACTACACAATTCATGCAAAATTAAAATAATCACTGGCAAGAGCACAGGCATAACATTGACACAGTTGCCTTGTCAGGCCACCTTGCAACACATTGCACACACTGCGGCTGCATGCTGCCGTTCTACCACGCGCTTTTTACTGGCCAGATATTCCGACCAGCTCAAGAGATAAATCATTGAAATGGTGGAGATCACAAACAGAGATGCTCCTAGCTGTCTGTCAATCTATTAACCTGAGAAAGAAATAGAAGTTGCCAGTTTAATTCACTAGGTTAGTGTAATTGTGTGTACCCCTCTCCACTTTCCCTTGGGTGGCATTTTTTATAATGTGATCACGTGCAATAGGCATTAAGTCGCCTCTACTGTGTCCCGTTCTGCTCTTTCCATGTGCATGGTGTTCATTGCACTGCTGCATGAATTAGGTACAAGTTAGCCCACTCTTCACAAAACTGAGCCCTGAAAATTGGCACCACATGTAATTCGTGATATATATCCAGAATTTAATGAATACAGGCTAATTGATGCCTGCAACTGGCAGCAGTCGTGCAACCGTTAGTTATACAGAAACTGGTCACAAATGGTTGCGAATGGCGGCTTTAGTCCCTAAGCGACGACTGCCTCAGTCGTGTGGCTATTGTCGCAATCGTCTGAACTAATCAGGAGCGCAGGTACAGGGAGTCAGCTTATATTACGGGCTGATGGCGATGCGAGTCATATGCGAGCAGACATCAATCCTGTGAGACGACGGGCACAAATTGCAAGGCACTGTGAATGTCAGTTGCCTTGAGTGACCTTTTCATTACCAGTTACAAATGGTCACATGACAGGTGGAACTCGCAGGTGTGAGTGAGCCTTCAAACCGAATCAAACCCCCCCCCCCCCCCCCAATCGCATGCAGCAAATCAAGAAGCACTCAATACAGTTCTGTCAGCAGAAAAGTCTGTAGAAACTTGTTAAAGGCGTGAATCAGCAAAAGCTATAACAGTAGCACTTTTTGTGAAAATTATCATTAGTTTCACACATAAGCTGCAACCTCCTGGAAGTTGCGCAAGGAGTTCAGTTGGCAGAATGTATAACTCCGCCCATCTCATGGCCAGCTTTTGTTGCTGTAAACGCTCGCGCGAGCCAAGCACAATTGCCTGAGCGACACACAACGATGAGCACCAAATGAAATACCAAAAAATTAAAGCAAATAAACGCTAAGTAATCTAACTGCATAATGAAATAACTGTTTAACAAGGTGGGATTATGTGAAAGGCACAAAATGTTTTCAATTATTACTCACTGCAAAAACAAAAAGAGAATTCTACTCTGGGTTGTAATAACATCAAATTATTTCTTAGTGCAAACGCATCTGCAGCAAAAGGTCTCGCTAGCCATCACAACGATGCACTTTATGTGTGAACTGGGGTATACACATTATTAGTGTTAACCACTCACAGCTTTCATATTGCCAAGCGCAACTTTCTTAGGCACAAAAAATATTTGCTAGAGTGCCTCAAGTTTCAAAATACATCTTCACACTACCAGCAACACGCGCTGAAATTTAGGAGCACAAGTGCTTGTATGTTAGAATGTGGTGGTCGCTGCTCACAAATGAACTCGTGGCTTTGGGATCTAAAGCAGAACACTCAAGAGTAGTTACATGCATGATTTCTACTGTGATCAGGGACAAAATAAGGATGCTTTCATCTTTGTCACACAGCCATTTACTGCAGAAGACCTTAACTGCCTGTTAAGCAATTAACCAGATGCCCATGTTCATTGGAATTTTACACCCTGATGTAGTTTTGAGCGTATTTGCCAAGGAATAAATTTTAATCACGTGTTTTTATATAACATTGTGCACAGGGTTCTGGTCCTTGCATGTGCCACAAATATCTTCGAGGGTTACAAAAACACACATCGGCAAATTAAAGCTGAAGCACGCTTAAATCAACTACTGCTGCAGATGCATACAGAATGCAACTGAATGCATGAACAAAATATGCAGCATATAAATGGAACGATGGTTGCAATTCTCACTGCTTGCATACTAGTCGACAATGCCCGCACAATAAGATGCTATACAAACATGCAACCACCGCAGCTAGTTTCACATTGGCACAGCACAATACAATAGCAGCTGCTGAGTCAGTTAACGTTCCCACAATTTTAAAAGGTTGCAGTGTCACGCATATGGTGAAGAAACTATGTCTCCGAGAACTTGCTCCTTATTTACTCTGCTCCGCTGAACAGGTATTTGAGTCATCTAGCCAAGCTTACGCATCCTCAACCCTGTAGCGATACTTTTGAGCAATGCTCGCAAAATATGCCACTGTAAATATTTCATGCTGCACAGCATCCAGTCGAAATCTTAACAGTACAATGTGGGAAATTCCACACGCTTTTTTTCACTCACACATTTTGCTGTAGCAGTGCTGCAAGTTCACAACATTGTTGTGCTATGTTTTTGGCAGGGAACAAGATGAATTAAATCGGCACAACACAAACACATGTATGACTTCATCTTCATGTCGTGTTGTATGTCTTCACTTATGTGATTGCATTGGTTAAAAAAGACAGCGCAAGAGAAGTATGAACATGCACCCCTTAGATGAGTCTCATGTCTTGCTTTGTTGAGCGTTAACAGTGAGCACATCCATAAGTAAAGTTGGAAAGACGAACGTATTTTTCTAACTCCCACTCATTAGACCCGATACAGAATAAAAATGTGAGTAAAAATGTGGTACTTACTTACCAAAACAAAAACTACAGTTACAGCTCCTGCGATGAGATGCAGGATACGTTCCTACAACGAGAAATGGAACGACAGCAAAATTGTACAATTCTCGTTCAAGCATTCACGGTTACGAAAGCAAACACTAAAACTACCAGGCATTCATAGCACTTCACCCATTTCAGACAGAAAGCGTATGCTAAAAGCCGCAATACAACGTTCGAGACAGCGCATGCAACGAAACAAAGAAAGTGCTGTAACCACAACGCGAGTTCGAGACGGCGACCACTGAAACACCTGCGCCAAGATCAAAGCACCATCAAATACTCGAACAGCATGCTTCGTCTAACGCCACGTTTGTGCGTGGGCTCCGGCACTCCCGTGTTCCTTGCAGGTTGCCGATTATAAGATACACCAACGCGCACGCACCTTCCGCAATCAAAAGACTGACGAATGCAAACGCCAATGAGGAAAGCTTTTCAGGGACGTTACTACACGAGGAGGACGTTCGAAACACAGCGCCGGGCGCGGCTCAAACGACACAGAACAAATCCAAAGCACAATTCACATTACCCGCGAGTTATTTTCGTCGAACAGTGGCCTGTCGACCGGGCCGCCAAAGAGCGGACGGTACTCGGTTGATCTCAAGTCCATAGCTGCTTCGTCACATCACTTCCAAAGCAGCAAACGAGCCGATCTCTGGATCAGTCATGTGCCATCAGTGCAGCTGTACCACTGCGCTCAATTGTGTTGCGAAGAGGCCGCGCCGATTTCCCCAGCAGCAGCCGCGTCAGCAGGTGTCACCGCAATGCAACACGTTTGTCGATATCAGCTCAATAATAGCCAACTATATCGTGCCGGACTTCGCTCCCAGATGATTCCCGGGGAAACGGAGAAAGTTTACGGCTGACGACGCCGGGCAAAACACTAAACCACCGCCTCTGCGCGAGAGGGAGGAAGGGAAACGCCTCCAACGTTTTCAACGTGACGTCCTACTGAGGAAATGATCGTTGACACCTTCTTGAAGTAGAGTTGTTGTTAGCGCTGTTCCGATTTGCCACCCTGTGGCATTTTCTTCTTACTTGCAGCAGCAGACACCCTTTTCCCCTCGGTGGCAATTAATTTTGGCCGCCGCTTAGCCCAAGTTATGCTCTTTTCTCTACTACTATTGTAAGCATTGTACCGTATACAGTTAAGTAGGAGGCCACTTCCCGCGCATTTCGAATGTGGAAAAGTTAGCTTTCTAGCAACACACAGGTTCCGAAACATTGAGGAGGTCCTTCGACACGATTACAAGTAATCGTCTAATTGCTTACCTAAAGAAGCTTATTGCCTTGTGAATCGACTGCCGTAAAAAATTTAGAATCAATCAAGTACGAGCGCAGTAACAAAGATTTGTCACGCGGCGCTTCAAGCACTTCTCTCAATCAAGGGGCTTTATGTGTCTCTGCTAACGAGCGCCCATTCGTGAGCGCGTCATGTTTTGCTTGTTTAGGCCTTACAGAATATGGCGCATAACCACTCTGGGGGATTGGCAAGATTTCATATAGTTTTAAATTACCATGAGCACTTTTTTTTTTTTTACTTATAACGCGCGGCTTACTTTCTGTGTGATTGCAAGCGCGCGCGTGTAGGCACGTGGCGGCCGTGGCAACTATGCAGCTCACGATGCTCAAATCGATCAATTTCCGAGGACATAGTGTTTAAAATGTGGCCATTTTGAGTATATGGCATCCTTTGTTGAGAGAAGGGGAAGCGATTTCTAGCCAACTATGAGAATTATTGGTAAAGTCCAGGTCTCGTGCTGCACTGCAATGTTTGGCTCGCGTGTTCTCAGGAGGCTCGACTTCCGATCGTCAGTGATTTCTAACCACACTGAAAAGCGTAGCAGGGCCCCTTTAATGACTTCACGTGACGACAAACCATGGTACCATGGAAATGCAAACAAAACACGATGCGCTTCTCGGTCGGCATGTGGGGTTTAACGTCCCAAAACAACAATTTCATTATGAGAGACGCCGTAGTGAAGGGCTCCGAAAATTTCGACCACCTGGGGTTTTTTAAAATGCACCCAAATCTGAGCACACGGGCCTACAGCATTTCCGCCTCCATCGGAAATGCAGCCGCCGCAGCCGGGATTCGATCCCGCGACCTGCGGGTCAGCAGCCGAGTACCTTAGCCACTAGATAACCACGGCGGAGCACAATGCGCTTCTCAAGCGCTATTTCACCACTCCGTGAATGATTTTTGTTTTCAGCACTCCATGAAAAATCCTCGTTACATTGTACCAGTGTTTCTTTTTTTTTTTTTTTTTTGCAATGGCTCTGGTAAATGCCGACCCATTGAAGTGACACATTGTCAATTTAGATGAATAAATTACTAGGATTTTATTGCCATTAATTTCTATGTCTTAGGTACATTATAAGAGAAAAATGAAGGTTTCATATTTGAATATCACGCCACGTCAGTGCCTGCGCGCAAATGTGTAGTCAAGGATTGCAAGCATTCCCAAGCTGTTCAGCAAATCGTTCCCTGACCGACGAACCGAAAACCTATCGTCATAAATGGGTATTTTCAACAGAAACTGGGCTACTACTTATCGCTGGTGTAATCTGCCAAAAATTTTTTCTGTAATGTAGCTGCAATCAACCAGTGAAAATTTTCCTAATTTCGCTAAAGACCCCGCTTTCTTGGAGAACAATGAAGATATGTATCACATTTTTTAGAACAAACAATTATGTGCCTTGCATTACAGGTTGACGAGCATGTTACATTGTCCAAGTTGGATGCAATGCTATGCAGTCTGGATTTGATGACACAACGATGGGCAGTTCAACGGGCCCACCAAGTGGCAGAGAGTCTATAAGCCTGTCTGTTCCAATGTGGGAGCAGCCCGCCACATGCTGGTTCGAGCACCGACGGATCTAAATAAAGTGTTTCCGTACCATTATGCAAGGCCAGATGCCGTAAAAATCTACGATGCCATGGAGAGTTTCTTTCTTGCAACTTGTTGCTTACCATGTGCCTCTTTGCATAATGAGTGATGCTTTTCCTCACGAAAGGCCAATTTCTTCATATACAGAGTTTTCTTGACAACCTAAATGTCAATATAAGTGCCGTATCTCCGATCAGTGATAGCAACACCTTTATCGAAATACAGTTTCACGAAATTTTTCCTAAGCAGGCGAAACTAATGTCAGACCGCATTTTAAATTCTATTCAGAATGTTTATCTGGTTCAATCAAAAATAAGGATAGTCATTCAACAGATGCTTTGCAAAGTAAAGAAAAATGTCGAATTGGGATATTCGCCCCTATTCTAGAGTGGTCATTTTCTCCACGCATTCCAGATTTTGTACCCATTTTTGTAGCAGAGTTTTTTGCGATAATTTTGACTCTCCGCAAATTCACTGCACCAACTAGTTTGGTAGTAATTCTAACTGGTTCACTGTCGGTGTGTTCTTCTCTCACTCAAATCATTAGTTCCACCGTATACTATAGTTGGTTAAATTGGTTTGGGTACCAAGGCATAAGGAAATTTTCGTCAAAAGAATGGCGGATGCATTAGCTAACTCATTAAATGGTCCAGTTAATAACAAATTACCAGCATCTAAGTTCGTTATAGGGGCTAGATTTAGGAGGAAAATGATGCTAAAAGAATTTTCTTTGCCGTTCATAATAGAGACATCGGAATTTGAGCACCTAAATCTTTTTTGAAACAGTAAAATACGAGACATGCGTGCAGTTGAAGTTGCAATCACAAGGCTGAGGTGTCATACTCCTTATCTAAATTTTTATTTACACAGAGCTGGTCTGGCTGCTTCCCCTAATTGTTGGTTTTGTCGAGTCTCTGAGACAACAGCACATTATCTGATATAACGTAAAAAAATACACTGCATTGCACAAAATCACATTAGATGCGGTCTTCCATCTTGTAAGATTGCAGTTATACACTCCAAATGTCTTTTCGTTGGGGGCTTTGCCTCTAGGGTTCAGTGACGGGAAAGTTGCCGATGCCTTGCAGGAGTTTTACTAAAGCTTCAAAAAAATTCAGTTTGTAGAACATGTTATTACTCCTAATTCACTTTTTTTCTCCAAATTGCTTCATTCTTTAATTTATTATTGTTGCTGAAACCATCTGCTTCGTTTTCTATATCCAGTATTTAAAACTGTCCATTTCTCATATTTAATTTTTCCCATTTTTCTCATTAGTTTAAAAAACGTGAGCTAACAAATTAACAGTATTTTGTCAGAACTACCCAGTTCTTGGCCAATACCCCAGCGTGGGTGTGTGCCACAGTTTCCAGGCTCTTCCTTCCTTCCTTCCTCTAGAACATGATGCAAGCTGTTTTTTTTTTTTTGTCTTTCAGCTTACACATGCTAAAACCAAGACATTTAGTATGTGGGTATTGTGCATGCTTTGCAGCATTTTGTCTGCGTGCTTGAGTTCAGAGATAGTGCCATACCAAATACAAGCTGAAAGTCTTCAAAAAAACATCTTACCTATGAAGCCAAGAATAATTTCATTCATGCCTTGTCTAGCTTAAATGATAGACTGCATTATCTTACACAGACCGCAGACATATCTTGAGGAATGTCAGCTGATGCAAAACACCACGTCTGCCCCGCCGCAGTGGTCTAGTGGCTAAGGTACTCAGCTGCTGACCCACGGGTCGCGGGTTTGAGTCCCAACTGCGGGGGCTGCATTTTCGATGGACGTGAACATCCTGTAGGCCTGTGTGCTCTGATTAGGGTGCACGTCAAAGAACCCCAGGTGGTCGAAATTTCCAGAACCACCCACTACGGCGTCTCTCATAATCATATGGTGGTATTGGGACGTTAAACTTCACACATCAATCAAACACATTGTTTGGTTTTTGGCACCACTTGGCAATACAAGTTGTGCTTCTGTGCCTCTCATAAAAAAAGCCTAAAAAAGACTGGCATCTACACAAACCACAAAGGGCAGGAGCCTACGTCGTAGATGAGAAGGCATAGCTGTGAGACCCTGTGTCTTGATACCCCTCAGATATACACAATACGGGAGACCAAAGCTACTACAAAAATCACAGAAAACAATACATGATCTATGTTTCACCAACATCCATGTTTCACCAACAAGGTATAGGAGCCCAACAGAACTCTTGTTAGCAGCCAGGTTCTTTTTAGCACTATGAAAAGAATTTGAACTATGTGTGTTTCACACTGTGAAAGCTGTATCACCTATGTAGAGCACTACAATTGCCTCGGTCTGAGTCCGAGTGAGTCGACTCACGAGTCCGTTTCTTGTGCCATGGTGCGAATGCTCTTTCCGCCAACACCTCATGCAAGCGATGCTCTTTCGGATGCCCTTTGACATAGTATATCTTGGAACACGATGTCTGAGTGCAAGACCGGTAAAGTAATTCTCTTGGAACAGATGACAGCATAAGTTATACTGAGTATCAAGAACTTCTCTGGATGAGTTAGTGCAAGGCGGGCGGGGGGGAGTCCAGGCATCCCCTTACGTAATTCACGCCTCCAATCAATGAATATTGAAATGGGGTATGAATGACACTGCTTTAAAAAAAACACATGATCATGAGTGGGGCGAAGCGTCCATGTGTCCGTTCGTTCTTGCTTCCATCTGTCCGTGTGTCCATACGTTTGTCCTGTCCGTCCATCTGTCTCTCTGTCCGTCCGTACATCTGTCTCTCTTTGTCTGTCTGCCCGTCTGTCTGTCTGCACCTGCTGAGTGAGTCATCAAACTAGACGGTGATAAATCGCGACGAGCTAGGAGGGCCAGACCCCCAGCTTTAGAAGCTTCACCCGTATTATGTGTGAGTAGACATGAGAATAACTGTAAATCCAAGTAAAGCTGATAGTAATCCTGCAGATAGACTTGTTACGACTTTAGGTTGGCAAAACAGAGTGGAACTCACTCAGACTCACTGAAGAAATATTTATTGCACTTTGGACCCACTCCGACTCAGACTCACCAAAATTTTTCTGAGCCGAACTCACTCGGGCTCACACTCAAGAAAATTTCCTTAAATTGGACTCACTTGGGCTCAGACTTGCGAAAATATTACTCACCCAAGCTCGAACCACGGCTCGAACTGAGTCTGAGTGGGTCCGAGTGAGTCAAGTCATGAGCGAGTTCACCGACCTATGCTCAGAGCTGAATGACTGTTCTTTCATTTTATCGATGTTTCAAGGATACAATCCCTTTTTTAACAGCCAAAAAAGTTTCTGCACGTCGAGGCTTTTAAACATGTGAGAACAACTCAAACCTTGAAACACAAGTGCCACCGCCACTAAATGAACACTCATGAAGGTCCACCTTTCAAACATACTTTTAATCTCACACTTCTAATGGCGGGAAAAAAAAAACAGCATGTCAAAACACGCTGAAGGTCACATTGCACAGGGAAAAGAGAAAGTTCATCACTTATCCAGAGATTACAACCTAGAGAAGCCCGCACATTGGACTTCCCTGTGTGCTAACACCGGGACCACACAGATTAATCTGGCAGGCACTTCACATTCCCTTGAGCAACCCCAACACATCCACTCCGCTGTGCTTTAATGGGAATCTCATAAAGAGGCTTTGTGTGTAATGTACAAAAATATACAGTTAAAAATTTGCAGGCAGGCGGGTGACAAGGCAAGGCCCGTCCCCTTCCAAGATGAGTTGCGCAGCCCGTCTTTTCAGAGAAAAACTTTCCGAAAGTGTTAAAACAAGAAACAAGATAGCTGGCTAACAAAGCTTCCCTGTCAGCGATGCCACCTTGCTCACTTTTCCTGCAAAGGTACGCCTTTGCCCCAAACCTAAACTCACAGTGAACCAAACTGCGCCTGAACGCGCATTAGGACGCCACCTGAACTGCAGCGCTGTGCCCTGCATGGGGAAATGTTGACAGATATCAGTCCATGCCACATCTGATGAGATCATGCGGGCAACATTTGCATGACGAAGCAGCACTGATCGATGGCCTGAAAACTTTCTCGCTTTTCCTACGCCCTTTTCCCCGCCGACTTGCGAAAGGAGCACACACAATGCTTTTCGTTATCGCTGCCCTCCTCCTGCGGCCGTCAGCGTCAGCTCGACACTGTCCTCGTTTATTGGCCCTCCCTCTAATTGGTCTCGAGCGTCTGCTGTCCTCGGATGGGTGGCTGGGCGCGAGGCTCGTGGATGCACGTATTCACACACGCACGTGTGAGAAACATCAGTCCGTTGACATCACTTCCGGGCTTGCAGGTGATTTGGAGCATCGGCGAAGGTGTACTTTAGCCGATATGCCTCTGCCACTAGAAGCGTGATCTCTTCGTTGCCCCAGTCGTACGTTGGCAGATTTTGAAGGAGAAGCATAAGGCCCTGAAATGCAAGAGCAAGATGATGGGATTCGATTATTATTCAAGCTGATTGATGAATGCTCGCTACTGCTCTTAAAAGATCACGAAGGGTTCCTGCAACACTTTCCCAGCATAGTCAGGTGACCCTGCCGTTCGGTACTTGAGGCTCTTGACAACATTCAAGCCAAACATTCGAGCGCAGTACACGGCTTCAAATTCACGATTGCTTTACAAGTCAGCTAGAAATCGTTTTCTCCTCTCTCGACAAATGATGCCATAATGCCAATGTACACGGTCAATGGCTGATTTGAACATCATGAGGAGGGGCATTGTTACTGTGGCTACAGCTGGAAGCTACCAGGTGCCCAGGCGCACACATGCAGTAACACTAAAAGTAAGCCATGCATTCAAGCAAAAGGAGAAAAAGTGTGGTGACAAATGAACACACCTTTCAACCCGCTTGTCATTTTCCCTGGTGTTAACTCTCAGCGGGCTCATAGGTATGAAGGAGCAGAGAAAACGCTTGAAGCTTGTGACAAATTCTTGTAACACTGCTGATACTTGACATATTTTAAAAAATTTTGCGGCAATTATTCATGAGGTAATAAGCTGTCTTAGTGAACTCATCCAACGATTACGTGGAAAAGTGTTGCATGGCCTTTTTGAAAAGAATGCTGAAGAGAAACACTAAATCAGGTGAGACTGGCAAAGTTTTCCGGCACACAATCACAATAGGCACACTATGAATTAACACACTCAGTGGAACAATGCCACTGCAACTTTCTCATAGTAGCAGATAACTGGTGTTTGTCTTCTCTTAAGATTACCATTGGTTTTTCAACTATGGGAATGTAATGCACATGGTTAGTGTTAGAGCCTTTCAAAAAAGCAAAAATATTATCTCCACTCATAATCGTATATTGCCTATTATAAGTCTACAGTTGACTCGTTAATTCAAACTCGAAGAGACCTCTGAATTTTGTTTGAATTATTAAGAAGTTTGAATTATCAGAAGTTCTCAGTTAACTTTGAGTGGGTGACACCACACATTATGATAAGGCATTGATTTTATCACATATGAAAATTAAAATTTAAAAGTCTTTTTAAGCCCCAACTGCAAGCTGTGAACAGAAAGCAGGGGTGTAAAGTTCATTGGCCATTTACTGCTGATAAGATCTTTTAAAGAAATCGTGAATTGCCAAGTGCTTCATTGCTATAGGTACGTGCTTTCGGCACGAAGCTCTCTATACCAGATGAGAAACATCACGGTTTACCATGCGTGTGCTTCGATTCAAACATTTGTTTATTTGCAAAGCCTTCTTCCTTAAAAGCCTCAAGTGCTTATTGTTCATTTTTCGACTGGCACATAAATTTAAATGCACATAAATTTTAAAATAAAAAGGCACATAAATTTTAAAGGCACATAAATTTTAAAATGGTAGTGAGAAAGCAACTGATATTTTCTGGTATGGACCTCCAAAAAGAATGAAGCAACCAAATGATGTAGTTTGAATTAAGAACCTTTTAAATACATTGAAAGAATAAACGGCCAACCAAAAAATTAAGTTTTGTTTGAAATAACTGAAGTTTGAATTATCAGAGTTTGAATTATCGCAAGCCTGCTGTATATATGTTTTTCATAAAATGGCCTCCCAAAGTTCGGGGGTCGACCTATAATCGGAATCGACCTTTGCGCGAAATCGTAGGGTTGACTTGGAATCACAAAGTCAACTTTTCTGAGGGGTCCAACGGAAGGTCGTCGTCCTTCGATTCACTGCTATTCGACGCATCAAATAACATCAGCCGCAGAGGCAAAGGAATGGCGAAAACTGCTGTCTCCCAACGCACGAGCGCCGTTTTTGGAACCGGAGATTTTTGCCATCTGCCGCTGCGATCGTAAAACTACAGTACCGCTATGATGGCTAGAGGTCCGAGATACAGCATTTTCTCATGACGCGGTTTCAATGGTACCGCCACCGCATCGACACAACTGTCGGGCAAAATTGGCAACAACACCAGCACTTGCAGTATATGAATATGACAGTGCATTTGGCTCGCGAAGAAACATGGCATGTGTTTATTGCTCGCTGCGACATACGTTTGTCTCGAATAACCCGACATATATCTCTCACTTGCAAAAAACGTGACATTTATCGTTCACGAAAGACGTGACATGTGTTTCTCACTTTAGTGGACAGAGTGCCCTAACAGCGCTTTTGACTAGACAATACAAAAATTCAGATTTCCCGCAAAGCACCATGGTCGTTCCACAATAAAGCTGGCAGTACCGTGTGAGCTGGCAACACTTAGGTGGCAACTAATGCACATGACCAGTCACATGCGCCGCACGCAAGCGCCCACAAGCATCTTCACGTTTTTTCGAGCTCACGCCTGTTTGTCATTTCAGCTTTTCCCCTCGCCTGCAGACAGTGGTGTAAACAATTTACAAAGCTGCTCAATGAACGTCGAAATGCCATTGCTACACTGGCAACAGTACAGCGCTGCTTTAAGAGCTAAGCGATCCTCCACGCAGAGTTGGAAAGCAACGTTGAAGCAGGGTAAAAGTTCGATGTGTCAGAAAAAGTGCGCGAGGAAATGGAGAAATGAAAGGGTCAAGATCTTCGCGTGCGCTACGACACGTGGTCCCTTTTGCGGACCAAAGTCTGGGCGATACCCTGCCATTTAGGAGGCGGTTTGAGATTTGCTTCACAACCAGAGAAGCAAAAGCCTCAGTCCTAGCTACGGTGATATTGAAGGAAGTACTGTTGCGAAATATATGTGCACCCCGCTAACCGAGTTTAAACTGAGCTCTTTGTGTGAAGTGGCGCAGTGGGTTAATGAAGCCTCGTAAGGACTGCCGACCGATGCGGTCCGCGCGGCTTTCTGCAGGTGCGGCATCAGCATCCCTTTTGACGGTGAGCAGCAGCAGTGGCTCAGGCGACGGCAATAACCGTGACTGCTGCATGCTTCTCTCAGGTGATGAATGTTTCACGATCAAATAAATGTTTCTTTGCATCACTCCCTCTTCTGAAACACTTACTGGTGTGCTATGGCCGCAGCATAAGGTTGTGTTCAGAGTCAACATTTTTTTTGCCTAGAAGGAGTCGCAAGTTGGGGGGGTCATCTTATAATTGAAGTTGACTTATAATCAGCAATATACGGTATTACGAGAGAACCTATTGTGAAGGGCTCTATTTTTTCTACCACCTGGAGTTGTGCAGAATGTGCACCGTTTGCAAAAAATGAAACAGCTCATGGGCACTTTCAGGAATGGTCGAATGAAGAAGTTTATTCAAAACTTTACATAGACCTAGAGAGCTAATTAATTAATGAGGGATTCAGTCAACAAACAAATGCATAGATGAATGAGTGAGTCATATACGTGCACGCACCTGAAAGTCCCTCTCTCGTAGCAGAGCTGGGGACCAGTAGCGCAGGAAGGCGGCGCACACGTAGAGGTGGAAAGTGGAGAAGCCTTCGGGTTCGGCCAGGTACGTGTCCCACAGGCGAATGGTGCAGTGCAACGGCAGCTCCCGCATCAGCAGGTTGTTCATCCACCGAAAGGTGAATTGCAGAAACTCCACACAGTGCTTGGAGAGGTGGTCGTGCAGTGGCGCTGAGAGAGGCACACATCAAAACACAAGTAAGAGGCAACGCTTTGTTCTAGGCATTCCTGTAAAATGAATACGGTGCGCTCCTGTTAAATGAAACCTGAAAGGTCCAGAAAAATATTTTTCCTTTAACAGGAATTTCGTTTACTGAGAGATGAATAAGGGGCCAGAATTCAAGTACAAAACCAACCATATAACAGCCAGTTCCATTTAAACCGGCTATGCAACACTTATTTAGTATGGTCTGAAAATGCTGCCGATCGGTAGTAAAGGCTCCTGAGAACACCCGAGCGAGATATTATAGCGCAGCATGCGACCTGGAGTTCACAATAAATTATCAAAGTCAGCTAAAAATTGCTTTCTCTTCTCTCTACGAATGATGGAAGACGATCAAAAATCACACATAGATTGCCGATATATCAGCCATCGGCTGTTTCAACATGGCGCGCTCGGTTGTTATAGAGATCGTCGCGAGAGGCCGTCACTTGTTCAGGCCTGTGAGCGCGATCGCACTGAAAAAGCCGTGTATTCGAAGGCAAAGAAAAAAAGGGCCCAAGGTCACAAGGTGCACGTGACGTCTTTTATTCACCCCTCCCATCCCTACCTGCTTAGCTTCTAGTGCTTTTGTCAGTAAGAGAGAAAAGAGAATGCAATTGCAGCCTGTGACAAATATTTGTAACTCCGCTCGTACTAGACGGATTCTTAAAATTTTTGCGGCGTTGAATTTGTGAAGCAATACACTTTTCAAGTGAATTAATTCCATGGTTACTCAGAAAAATGTTTGAGGGCCCCATTAAGAGCAATTTCATTCACTTTGTTTCGTTTACCTTTGAAGCAAAGAAATGGCACTTGCACAGGCCTTGTTTCAATTAAAAAAAATACTGCCCAGTTTAGTTGGGTGATGACAGATATGCCCATTTGTCTTTATAATATGCTATATATACTACCCAAATTCAATAAAAGAATATTCGGCCAATATCACTTTTTCTTTCAAACATAAAACTTACTAGTCACACAAACCTAATTTTAACTGTATTAAAGGGCCAGTAAACAGGCTCAGACTTTTTTTATGCCCCCATACAAGCTCAGAAATTCGTAGATTAGTCCACAGTAATCACGTTTTCTGAATATTACAGCGCTGCACTCCGCGCAGAGCCTCTATTTCGAAAAACAATTCCCGCGCATCTTTCTTACGCCTGACCAACTCCCTTGCACGCGCAGTGACGTCAACTCGGTGATCAACGACATGACGCAGCACCCAGCTCGCCGATTGGTCTAAATCAGGTGTGAGAAAACAATAGTGAAGTCAACGTCACTTCCTGTTCCCACCCACAGCTACGAAAATGCCCCTTGTTTCTTGGCACTGCGGTGAAAGAACCAGCCTCACAGTTGTGGCGTGCACATGTACACTCCTTGCTCAACTACAGCGCCTGCGCATACGTAAGAACGTGTTTGGCCCTTGACATGAGCAACACAGGTAAAAAGTGTTGCTGTGTCGTCGGCTGCAAATCGAGCGACTGGGCAGCCGAGAAGCATCGGCACCGGGTGCTTCACGATAGGGCCCTGCGCGCTGCATGGCTGAAGCGAATCGGCCATCCAGCGACGTACATTGGGGACCTGATCGTTTGTGGTCGACACTTCACACCTGACGCTTACACGGTTGACCCGCTGCTGGTGCGGCAAACGGTAAACAGCCACACTTCGCAGCAAACGGAAGTGCGTTGCAAGTGATCGAGTTCGCCGATGACGTCAATCGCTGACGTGGTGTCACGTTGCCGAAACAGGCGGAGTCACGACGATGGGCTACGCCTTCCCCTTCATGAAAGGGAGAAGGGGGGCAAGGCTGTGCGAAAATTAAAAAACAGCTTAGACCGTTGTTTTAACCCCCTGTAACTTCCTTAATATAGCATGTATTTGCAAAACTCTTGCAGCAGCATGTTAGCAAAGAAAAACTGTACATATATTTCTTTTTAAAATTTCTGGACCTCAGGGCTGTTTACTGGCCCTTTAAAGAGGTACTGGCACAAAAACTTTGGCCTCACATTATTTTGCTACAGTGTGTTGCTGGGGGCCTGTCAGTCATAAAAAACACGGCATATCATTTGCTTCAGCACGTGTCAGATCATTAACAAGCTCCTCATTGCCAACCAGTCTCGGTTGTGGTTTGAGATAATCCAAAAACCAGGAGCCACTGGATGAACTAACAGCATCCAGCTCGTCAACGCTCAACCACGTCAGCACACAGAACTGTGACGCACCATTGCGTCACATCCATTGCACCACTGAGTCGACGTCAAGAGGGCCTTTCAGACAGGAAACGGGACACCAGTGTAGCCAAACACAAAACTTTCAATGCCTGCGACACATCCATAGACTAGCCCCTAGAGCAATCGAGAATTAGTCATCAGCTGAGAAACAGTCTGCTAGAGAAAATGCGGCAAAATGAAAATTGGTGCTAAGGCATCATCATAACTTGTATTGACTGCAGTGTAATGACATGGTGTAAGTAGAGTCACCGTGGAGCACGGAGTAAGATAAGAGAGGAGTGCTGATTCCAACGCCGCCCCACAGTTTCGCGCAGGACACATCGTGCCTGCAGTGGTCTCACTCATTCCTTTGCTCACCTCCTTCGCTCCTCTTCCTGCTTTCGCAATGCTTCCTCCTCTCTCGGCACGTATCACAATGCGTAGTGCCATCTGTACAGCTGTGATATTGAGCACATGCACGAACTGGCAGAAACCTGCAGCGGCCGGGAGCGGCGAGCGTGGCGCGTGTCGTGTGCTACAAAACTGTTTGCTTGGCTGATTCAGTATGAAAACCAAACGAAACGTATGTAGTATGCATACTCATAATGAAATGCGAAATAAAAACATCGTACCGCTTTTTTTACACATATGCGAAACACTCTTACTGATCTTTAGACAAAGCAGCCAAAAAATTTTGCTGAAAAAGAACAGCAGAGCAGACGTACGCTTGTTTTCCACGCCTAGACGCCTGAGCGGCAGTCTTGGCCAAACATTTTAGTCTTAAATGTCTTGAATGTGCTTATTCATGCTCGAAGAGACAAGATATCTTCGTATTTGTGTTTGAAGACTCTGGGTAACCGGACAGAGCGCAATGAAGTGTTTCGTTCCCGGCTGCAAGTCTGGTTGTGGCAAAGGGTGGGAGATGATTTCGCTCTTCGCGGCCTCATGTGATTCGCTGCTACCGCATCAGTGGCATTAAAAAGCACCCATGAGTATGCGACCCCTGAAATCGAAGGACAAAATATGTACTCGACGCTTCGAGAAGCACCTCATGTTTGATAGGTACTTCAGCGAACACAAAGATAATGTTCTACTAGATGTAAAGAAAGTGCCTTGACTTCGAAAAGGAGCAATTCGTTCCATCTTTGGGGTAAGCGTGGCTCAACTCAATGACGCTAAATATCAGGAGGAACCAACATACACCGGCGCTGATGAGCGAAAGGACATCAATTTGTCTACAACCGCATACAGAGTGGGCGCGTTTCTTTGCCCAGATAACGAAAATTCTCAACCCTGCCTACGAGAGGACTCCTTCGTTGGCCGCCTGGCAAGGATCTAAGACAACAGCTTGAGTGCGCCTTCCAACGAATAATGTGCGGCAGAAAGTGGTGCAAGCAGCTCTACTGCTATAAGCGACAACAGAGACCCTCTGTGCCCCAATCGAAGCTCACTTTTGGCAATGTTACCTCATGTACTAAGTTTACATATTTATGTTTATGTACGTTGTAGTGGCATTGTATAGTTCTGTGTAGTGCACGTTAAAGACGTCAGGCATTTGGCCTGTTTCGAATAAAAGTAGTATAACGATACATTTGGGTGATTTCTTCTCATACCATCGATCCGCAAACTGCGATAGTCGCGCTCGTTACATGAAAGAATTGGTAGCAGAGGTAATGCATTTGCGATGCGGACAACAAAACGGATAGACGAGCAGACCCATGAATACGGCCAAGCGCGCGTCCGTGCCGTTGGCAACGACGAATGGAGCCCCCGCCCCCAGCTCTGCTCGAGGCATGCTCGCCTCCGCCACATTCCTCCATTCGTAGCACCACCTGGCAGACAAACTGCGAAGCATGAAGCGGCGTTGCAAGATGTGTCCCTTCTGGACGAGCGGAGTCAGCGCTCCTCTCTTATCTTACTCCGTGCCGTAGTCACCTTTGAGGGTGTCAATATTGTGAAATGCCGCGTATAGTGCTTAACTGCGCATGAAAACTTCAAAATGCATGTAAAATAACTTCCAAGCTCTAGCAGCTGTTGATATTTTGCAGGTGATAAATGCATGTTCACGGGAATCGATCCCACAGGCTATCTTGACTACAAAACTTTTTTGTGTCCGTACTTCTTTAATAAGAAGGCCTAGGCAAATCTCGTGTAATTCCACGACATTCATTCATTCACTCATTCATTCACTGTTTATTCATCAAAAAAAAGAAAAGACTCTATTTAAGGGGACTGAAGGCAGATTACCTCTTCCTAACTAAGGTCCCTACACCCATACATTTGTTCAGATGCAGTGGAACAAAAAGATACATATTTCCTTTTTCTAATTTTTTGGGGGGAGGATGAGCCATAAAAATAAAATTCAGAAAGTATAACAGATGTCGAAACACACACTTTAAAATACATCACAATGAGTTGTTGTGGCAGATCTGAGGTGGTGGTGTCACCCGTATTCTCTCAAACGGTTGAACCCCTTTACAAGAGAGGCACTTCAGGGAGCCCTTCTTGTCCCTCACATGAGTTGTCTCTTACGAGCACGGTACCATGTTCTCATCAATCACTGCTTCGATGTCGGCACATTGGTATCGCTTATACCCAATTGTCTCTTACATCAGTGTCTCTCATAAAGGGGTTCAGTGGTAGTGAATTTTATGGCTTCAGAAAGTTTTCCTCGCAGCAAGAGCGCTGCTTTTGCTACTGCAAAAAGCTAGTTTGCTTAAACAAAAGAAATCCTTTTTCTTTTTAGTGTCACTTTTACAGTAAAGCAAAACCTCACATCTGCATTAACTTTTTCTCTATGCTTGTGCTAACATTCGAACGCTTCAAATATTAGAACAAACATTAGAGTATTCAGGTTCAATTCAATTCAAATTTAAATAACTGAAAATTTCAAAGTATTCAAAATGAACGAAAAGGTAATTATTAGTCTGCATGCAATTGCCTGTAAAGGTGGCTTCACTTAGTAGAGGAGTGCTACACCACAAAAACGCCTATTCGAAAAAAAAAAAAATCTGTACGGCCAGCAAGCCCCACTTCAAGGTTAAATGAATATATTACCCTCACATCAATTCATCCTTTTTTGAAGTTTAAAAGCTTGTTATAGCAGCTTATATGCTCCCCCCCCCCCCTCCCTCAGCACAGTAAATTTTAAAACGTACCATATTTTACAGTTCATCACTTGCATACTAACTGTGATATTAGGCGTCGCTACCGACTATAGTGCTGTGCAATGGCACGCACTCAGCGGCCACCGACCGCAAGGAGGAAAAGAAGATGGAATAAACAGGATGTCTGCGCTTACGCTATGATGTTATGTACAATGTAATACTAACAAATGTCAAATCCTGCTACTATTCAAGGCTGTTTCCACTTCCTTATAACCCAAGATATTGTGTTTGCACAGGCCTTATTTTAATATATTTTTTTTAATGCGGTGCAGGTGAGCTGTTTATGAGAAATATGTCCATTTTTCTTCATATGTAATATATACTATTCAAATTTGATTTGGCTAACATTACCATTCACTTCGAATGCACTTAAAGCCTAACAATCCCTATTTGCACAAGCCTAATTTTCTCATAGAGTGCCAATCAGGAGAGTAATCCCTACTCACTGTCGATGCGCTGTATGAGCTCCTTGAGGGTGTTCACTTTGCTCTGGATGCCAGGCTGGGCAAAGGTGTAGTTGTCCTGGATGCCGTCCAGCAGCTTGCTCATGCACCAGAAGCTGTCTGCCTCGATGTCCTGCAGCACCGACTGCTCCAAGCGGTCCACCGAGAACGTTTCCACTTCTGCCTCTGCAGCACCGACACCACACCCGAAAAGCACGAGTACGAGGATGACTCTGTCACCCAAGTATTCCGAGCCCAACTCCTTCTCGAGCAAGACCCACATGACAGTCAAATTCATCACCTTTATAAGAGATATACACCGGGAAGCAATTCTCGTCCTTTACACGAGGTGTCCCTTATAAGCAGGGTACCACATATGCATTTCCTTATCAGCAGTTAGTTCAATCTAGGCACACTAGCCTCTCTTATATCAATTTGTCGCTTACATCAGTGTGTCTTACTAAGGGGTTCGAATGTATAGTATTTGAGAGGCCACAAAAAGATAATGCGTGGCAGTTGCCCCTAGCAAGCCGAGAATGAGTAAGTGTAAAAAGAAGGAAACAAAAAGGCAGTTTATGGTACACACAGAAGCGGGAGATAGCTGGAATATCAGTTCCAGAGAACAAGATGGCTACGGTGCGATGAGATTGTCACATGCAACACCAAGTGCCAAGATAGTTCGCAGATGAGAAAGCAGAAATACTGGAGACGTGCTGGCAAAGTGTGTGCTCTTCCATCAGGAAGAGTGGATGATGACTCGGGTGAGGACAACTGGTAATTCCAGCGACTGTATTTATAGTATTTAATTTTTGTTGTGGAATATGCTCGCACGTATGAGACCCCCCCTTTTTACGTGCAGTAATAATAAATAAATCTCCATTAAGATAAGCATGCATCAGAGTGAGTTTTAACCACCTTAAGGTTGTGACATTTGCTGTGTTAAATTATTTGAACTATAGATCCTATGAACGTATAAGTAAAATCGAATGATTTGACTATCAAATGATTATGGTTGGTTGGTATGTGGGGTTTAACGTCCCAAAACCACCATATGATTATGAGAGATGCCTTAGTGGAGGGCTCCGGAAATTTCCACCACATGGGGTTCTTTAACGTGCACCCAAATCTGAGCACACGGGCCTACAACATTTCCACCTCCATCGGAAATGCAGCCGCCGCAGCCAGGATATCAAATGATTATGAACGTATGACTCAAATGAAATGATTCAAAACCTGAATCTATTCACGCACCCCTATCTAGGTACAGTAGAACTGCGATTATATGTCCCCCAGTTTCACAGCGACCCGCTCTTTACGACGAATAGGCTTGGTTTCGGGAAAAATTCCCGTTGAAAGAATGTATTAAAAACCTTGGTTATACGGCACAGTTTTAGGCCAACCCACATTTTATGACGACTTTCTGATACCTTCAGAAAAAAAAAATTGGCAGATCCCACGTAGAGTGGGAATAAATTTTATGCGAAGCACGAATGAGAAATGTTGATATGTCACTTTAAGATCAGCACAACGTTACGAGGGGGAGGTAAACGATGCTGTACATGACCTCCGTGTCATGATTATCATGTTCGAATGTGTCGTTTACCTTCGTCATCTATTAATGTCACGTGATACCAAATTTAGTATATGTGGAGCTATGGCGAGCCGGCGGCGAGCACACTATGAGCGTGGTATGTTGTCATGGTCTTACATGACCCACGTGTCAGGATTATCATGTTTGCATCAGTCATATATTTCGTCATTCATTGACGTCACATAACACCAAATTTGGTGTATGTGGAGCTAGTAAAACGGCCCAATGTATTCCAATGTAGCGTTGACGCATGTGCACGCTGGGCACAGCGCCGCTACGTTGAAAACGCGAGCACTCTATAGTCTGATGCCATGCGCGACCAGCGTCCATCGGCGCGGCTCGACGGCAACCGGCGCGAAATGCTGCATTTCGCGCCGATGCGTTACCCAGACGTCATTGAGTCTTCCTCTTTTTGTGATAGAGGGATGCTGGACGCGCTGAAACGCGCATGCGTCAAAGCAACGCAGCGCAGCACGCACCTGCGAGTATATGACAGGACCGGCGCTTGCGTGACCCGATGAAATGAACGCCGGCGAGCACGCGCATCATGTCACGTTGAAATGTATTGGCGACTTGACTGTGGCATGTAGTCATGTTATCATATGACACGCGTCTCATGATTATCATGTTTAGACCAGTCACATACCTTCGTCATCCATTGGAGTCACGTAATACCAAATGTGGCATATGTGTAGCTAGCGAAAGAGCCGCAAGCGCATCATCAGTGCGGCATGTTGTTACATGACATGCATGTCGTGACAATCATGTTTGAATGTGCCATTTACCTATGTCCTGCATTCGCGTACCGAGTCTGGTACATGTGAAGCTAGCCAAACGGCCGCGAGCGCATCATGAGCATAGCATGTAGTTGTGTTGTTACATGAGAGGCATCTCATATTTATGATGTTTTGTTTGTACCAGGTCATACCTTCGTCATCCATTCACGTCCCATAATACCAAAATCTGGTATAAGTGAAGCTAATGAAACGGCTGCCAGCGCATCATGAGCGTGGCAGGTAGTCATGTTCTTACATGACATGCATTTCATGATTATCATGTTTGCACCAGTCACATATCTTTGTCATCCATTCACGTACTGTAATACCAAATTTGGTATATGTGATGCTGGCGAAACGGCCGCAAGCGCATCATGAGCGTGGCATGTAGTCATGTTCTTATATGACACCCATGTCATGATTTTGATATTAGGGTCTGTGGCATGTGTTCCCCATGAAATCATGCCATACCGTACCAGTTTTGCAACATACCATGTGAATGAAACCACTGCAAGAGCTGTAGGACCATTAAATGTAAATCATGACATTCATGACTTACGTATCATGATTTTCATGTTATGACTAGTCAAATATGTTCTTTATACAGTCATGTTATGCTATGACAAGTTTGGTATTGATACCTTCATCCTAACGGCCAGGAGAGCTATAAGTCGTAGGCGGCTAAATAGATAGATACGCTAAAAGTCGCCTAAGTTCGCTAATAAATGCTTCGCATTTAAAAAAAGCACCACTTACTTGGATCGAACATCGTCCAAATATTCACGAATGCAAAATATGAACTTGTGTTCCCCCATGTTGACATTTAGAAAAATAGAGAGACAGGATGTCTTCTTAAAATAGAAAATTTGTTCTCCTGGAAGTTGATGCCCTTCTACATATGCCTTGATCTCATGTGCAGGTATTTGGGGTTGTTACCTAGTCAAGCTCTATCCACACAGAATAGGTTCAGCCAGCCGAAAAGCTGATATTTTCTCGTTTTTGACCCGAGGAAACTTTTCCTGGACTCCACACAGCTGATATCCTGCCTTTGTTACACTTGCAGTCACAGGCTTGCGCAAGCATTAGGGCACGATGCAGCTGTTTTCACCGTGCAAAATAACTTTCACTTCATGTCAACATTCATATATGCGGGAGATCGCTATAGTTGCACTTTACAAGCCAACAAATTGCAACGTACACAGCTCAGTCACGATCGAAGGCATTCTAGGCAAACTTGTGGTCAGTTGCCATTATGTGATAGCGATGACACTGTGTCGACTCTTGTGACGGGAGGCTACTGACAATGCGGGTTCGGTTTCGTTTTCACGCGCAGGCAATTTTCGGACTCTGTTCATTGGTAGAAAGACGAGTGTTAAATTTGATTTCTTCAAAATTGAAAACAAAGACTTACTGCACCTCTTCCAACTTAGTAATGCTGCCATTAGCTGCTACCAATAAGAATATTAGAGTCACAATAGAGTCACAAGGTTGTGTCACGGGCTTATTCAGGCGGTCTGTACCCGTTTATTGGCAAAGTTGAGTGTCACTGCCTATAATCTTAGTTTTACGATTATACGATGCGTGGATTATATGACAGTTTTGCGTGATCCCCTGAAAGTCGTATAATCGTTTTTCCGCTGTAGTAAGGTCAACATGTAAAAAAGTGCTTAGAAAGATTGCTAGAGTGCTAATATCCGAGCTGATCTGTCAAATGCCGAGAAAAGTAGCTGCTTTGATCAGCCACACAGCGAAAATAAATTTGCACAATATTCATTATACCTGAGGTTATTTGCAAAACACCAAGAAAAGTAGCTGCTTTGATTAGCCACACAGTAAAATCAAGATATGTATACTAATTACTATACAGAAAATTTCCAAGGAACTATAGCAACAGTCATCTCCAGCATTTAAGTAACCTAATCAAATAAACATTAACCTAATGTTACAAATGTCAAAATGGTAAATGTTTCACAAGAACAACTTTTCCTTTTTTGGTATGCTTACTCAGCAATGGTTCAACATAACAACTTTGTGCTGGAGCTATTTGTAATATGCAGGCTTACACCCCACTGAATAGCAATGGCAGGACCAGCATTACTAAAGTGGCTGCCCTTCCAAATTTGTGCCAGACCCACTGGCCTTGGCGAATGTACGAAACCCCCAAATGTGGATGCCAATGACCTGCGCGTGTTGTGTTTGTACTTCGAGAATTCACGATGTAAAGTTATGGGGATGATTTTCTCAATGTTTAACAAACTCATTCTTTCCTCTTAATCGTAGAGTTTCGTTAAGTCTGTCATTTTTTAGTAGCAATGGGAAAAGCATTAGTTTGATGCAACAACACCCCATACACTTGTCACTTTTCAAAGTGTTGTGCGATTAACTTTTGTAATTCCGTGCCACAGCGCCCTTGCCTCTAATCACGATTCATACTGTCATGGATGACAAGAGAAATAGTAAAAGAAGAAGAAAACAAGTAGATGAAATGTGAACATGACGGGGAAATCAAAGACAAAAAAAGAAACTAGAGGTGCACGCAGGGATGAAATCTTGGAGGGCTGGTTCATGCAAAGAACATGATGGCCTGATGGCGGAGCTTCAGAGGGAACAGTGGAGATTACGCAGTCTGGGTCCTGCCCCAGGGCTTTAAAAGACAAACGAGAGCCTGCCCAAGTACCAGACTAAGTGAGCTGCTGACCACTTGCTTCAATTTTACAGCTTCAAATTTCAAGTTCATCTAGCTGCCAAGACACGTCAACGTTAGCACTGCCAAGTGTGGACAAACTAAGGCTGGCTGCCACCCGTCCATCCCGCCAAGCAATCACAGACCAGATTAGACTCGGCATGCGCAAGGAGTGCCAGCTGGCACATGCTTCATTGTGCCAAAGTTGGATGATGCCAAAAAACCTCGCCTCATATGCAAAGCGCCTTACGACATCAGACACCAGCGCCAACACAGCGAACAAACCAGAGCCTCGTGACAGTGTCCCAACTACAAACGTAAGCAAACAGTGGTTTCACAAGTATGGTAAGTGACACGGTGTGGGAAACGCATGCACTTTCGCTAGACTACATATGTATTCGTTATTTACTAATTGTTTGGTCAGGCCTATTTGTGTTTCTGCTACTATACTTATCTATTTTTGCATAGAATGAAGGTTGTGTTTTTGTCGCAGCTCTTTATGTTTGCGCGTTCATTTTGCCGACTCAAGCGAAACGTGCCAGGTGCTTACATACAACAAAACATTGGACAACTGTTATTGGCTAATGATTTTCCAACAGTGCTCATATGGACGTTAAGTTCAACAGAGTCCAAATTATTTGCTGTAGTTTAGGAGCCCTTTAAGCCTGCCTCGCGAATCCTGTAAAAAAATATATAAGAAAAGAAGGAAAGTTCCTACGTCACACAGTTTCTTTACAACCCCAGTGACTTCAGTAAAGTGAATATAAAATTTATTTCTTTTTTGTTGCTGCGTAGCTGTTTCCAAAGCTAGGGTACTACCTCACAGTCCACGGAATCTCTCACATCACGCAGAAACTGATAGCGCATGGCTGGGCGTTCGTGCTTCGCAGAGCAGCAAGCCCAGTCAGTAAGCACTCAAGTTTGGCTAGGTTCGTTTTGGCGTTGCGTAAGCTGTTGCCAAACTGCCGCCAGATTTGGCAGAGAAATTTGCCCCTGCAGTTGTAACTTCCCCGTGAGGGCTTTGTGTCGTCCGCGGTGCATTTCGCGAGTGCATGAGTGACGTTAGTCATTTTAATTAGCGGAATGAATGTAAAACGCGAGTTGCAAAAATTGAGGCGCGTTCTCTTGCTGTTTGCCCCGCTGTGCAATTAAGAGATTCACCCTATGCATTTTAATAGTGTGCTCTTTCGAGTTGAGGGAGAATAACATTCATTAATAGGAATTTTGGTCGTTTGTGCTTATTGTGGGTGGGGCCTTGCAGGCGACGGCGGCTCGTCGGGCGGTGTCCCATTCACAAGTAGGAACGAGTTGCGCTTAATTCACTAAGGCGATAAATCAGCCTTCCAGGCGTATATAGCTGTAGCATATTCGACGTACCCCAATCAGCCAGCCTTAATTGGCATATTCATATTTCATGTGTACACGGGTTCAAAGAATATGTCTTGCGATGACACTGCTAAGGGAAGCGTAGCATCTCCGACGTCGCGCATGGTCGACGCGGCACGATCAGCTGTGCAGAGAGTCCGCTTTTGCCGACACGAGTTCGGCCTATATTGAAACGCGGCACACGCACTCGCGAAATGCACGGCGGACGACACGTCATTGATTGCCTAACTTTGAAACACGATCTCTTAATTGCACAGCTGCACACACAGCAAGAGAACGTGCCCCGACTTCGGCACCGTGCATTTTACATTCATTTTGTCAATTAAAACGGCCAACGTCGCTCACGCACACGCGAAATGCACCGCGGATGACACAAAGCCCTCAAGGGGAAGTCACAACTACAGGAGCCAATTTCTCTGCCAAATCTGGTGGCTGTCTGGCAACAACCCCTCTAATGTCTGGCAACTGAGATATGCATTGCCAAGCAAAACCTTGCCCAAAGTTTAGGGGTTTTGACTTCAAGTACTGCAGAAGCAAATAAGAATTTGACTCACCTTTAGGCACATGTTCTTGAAGAAAGACCACAAAAAAGGGGGTGACGAGGTCGTTCATGCCTTGGACATAACCACTGGCTGGATGTCGAATGGCCCATATGTACAAGATCCTCTCAAATATCTGCCAGGGCAAACAGCATGACAAGCCTCACTTTGGAAAGAAGTTTATCATGTGGGAAAAAGAAGAATAGTATGTGCTACTATGATACTCGACACAATATTTTTTTTTACAGAGACATTAACATGGGGGACAACAAACCACAAGCACATCCTTCAACTGAAATGGGTGCATAGCTATTGACAGCCGTAACTATAAATAACACGTTTCAAAAACAAACGTGTATATTGTACATCATGTCGTTTGACAGCAGCATGCCAAAATGCAGGGTGATGACTTCATGTGTGTGAGCGCACTTTCCAAAAAAGGAATAAGGTACATACTGTAAAAACTCTCATATAGCCCGGGGTTTTTTTTCTAAATTTTACTATGCAAAATTTCTGTCTCGGACTATGTGCGTATCCCAAGAATTTTCGACCCGAATTCGTAGTTTTGGTTTCAGCAATACGGGCAGGTGTGGACGCTTCTGCAGTAAGTAGCGTTGTAGCGCTAGTGACGTTAGTCATACAGGCGTGCAACAGTGGCCATTGCAACCACCTGACGCACGTAAAAGCGACCCCGATTTTACATCTGTGACTTTATGCCATGCCAGCTCCGCAAAGGCAGTATTCGGCTGCCTTTAAAAGAAAGGCTATCTTAGCTCCTGAAACCATCGGTAACTGTGCTGCGGGGCAAGTTTGGTGCGGATGAGTGGTGCATTCGCAGCTGGAGGAAGCAGAAAGAAGCCGTCTTTGTATGCTGCAGCCAGCAAACAAACTTTTGTGGGCCGAAACATGGAACTTTTCCAGACGAACAAGAACTGGCAAACTTTGTTCCGGAGCACAGACGCACATCCCTCTATCAAATGGAGCTGCTGCAAGCAAAGGCAAAGGAGATCGTGCGAGATCAATGCATTGAACACGTAGTCTTTAAGGCGAGCAAACATTGGGTGTCCCGTTTCATGCACCGCGCTGGATTCTCCCTACGTTGACGAATGTCGATATCACAGCAGCTAATAAAAAACTACGGAGAGCTGCTAGTAGACTTTCAGAAGCACGTGATTTTCTTGCGAAGGCAGTCTCATTTCAGCTGGGCCAGATCAAAAACACGGATCAGATGCCTGTGTGTCTCGATAGGCCCGCAGCTCTGACAGTTCACGAAAAAGCCTCGAGGCAAGTTACCATGCAATCAACTGGTAATGAGAAAACGTGGGTGACTGTAATGCTGGCCTGCACGGCAGGATGGGTGCAAGCTGTCAGCCTACAAAAAGACGCTGCCAAAGGGGAAGAAGTTCCCAAGAAATGTCGTCGTCCACTGCCAGGACAAGGGGTGGATGGATGAATCGCTCATACTTGACTAAATCAAGTCCATAGGTGTCAACCGCCCGGAGCACTGCTAGGGCTCCCATTGATGCTTGTGCTTGACACATTTTGTTGTCATCTGGCGGTCCCCGTGAAGCGATTGCTGCTAGACTCCCGCACTGAGCTCGTTGTTATCCCGGGAGGGATGACAGTCTTGCTGCAGGCGCTTAATGTGTGGCACAATAAGCCATTTAGGGACAATATCAAGCGCCTGTACAGTTAAGCCTGTTTATAATGAACCTCCATATAACAAATTTTTCTATATACGTAACCAAGTTTCTTTATTTCCTGCCGTAACTCCATAGAAGCACATGTATTAGCAACCTCTAGGTAACAAAGCAACAGCAGAGACATCCTTGATATAAAAATTTTTGTCACCGACAGTATAGCAATTTCGACTAAGATTTTGTCATTTTGGTACGAGCATGCATGTTTTGCGGTTGCCCTGCCGCTGACAAAGCGCGAAGTGGCAGAAGCGCGCATGGTGCGCTCCTGGTCCTGGCGACTCCCAGGAGAGAGAGAGAGAGCACTCATTATTACGCACAGGTGTGCGCGAGGCGGGCAGGTGGGCCTGTGTCCCATGAGCTGGCGTTGCCGCCGTTCTTGCCGCCGGGGGCACATGAGCAGATGTGCCCTCCTTACAGACTTTAGTCAAATGCTTTGCAGGTGTTTCTTCCCTGCAGAATGGCAGTGAGGAAAAAAAGTAAAAAGAAATAGAAGGCGACATGAAGTGATCAGCTTTCACACCACAACCTTTACTCTCTCCAGCCCTCTCCAGCTACAACCACCTGTTATCAATCAAATAAACACTAGAAGCAATGATCACGGTGTTTAGTCTAACAGAATTGCTCCTCAACTCGTCGACGTCACAATGTGCCACAAAAGGTCTTACGTCTTTTCAGTAACAGCAAGACCGGTCGATCAAATATTACAACATCCGCGTGATTGTGGCGATGTCTTCATGGCAAAGAATCAGAAAACAGCACAGGCGAGGTGGTGGCCGATGATGAACATGCTATTGTGTATTACCACCAACAAGCTTATCACAATCCTTGCAAGCTATCTGCTCAGCTGCACGTGTGGCACAACCTGCGCGGATGGACAGCGAAACAAGAGCGTTCTCTGCCGTTAGCAGGTTTGCCGGCACCGTGTCATCCGAGACCATTATGTAATGCGTGTTGCTTTGTAGAAGCAAAAGTAGCTTGCTAGCGTTGAAGGGCGAGGGCTCCTAGAAATCTCAATACACCGACAACGAGCATATACTGCATGTTTCAATAAGTAACAACCAAACGTACCATGCCTCATCGTACAGAACCGTTGGACAATCGCAAAGATGAAGAGCGCACATTACTTGCAAAATGCTTGCGTTAAAACAAGCTACTCGCTTCACCCATGTACGGTACACAGTGCAGCAGGCATGAAGAACACACAATTGCGTGCACGTGGAATACAGTCGAGCCCGACTATATCGAACCCGTTTATATCAAATTATCCCGTATATCGACCAATTCCTAAACACGGTAAGTTTACATTGAGAATATATAGCAAAAGTTACTGTTTTATCGAACGAAAATAGCAACGACAACTGATATATCAAACTCCATGTGCCTCAAAAGTGCCCCAGCAAGTTAGCTTTCCCTCGCGGTGGCGAGGAAAACTGCCGGCGCCACCCTAGAAAAAGTTGGTTAGACCCGGTTGTGCGCGGGCGAACACCCTCCTCCAAGAAATTATCCTGGCCCGCTCACAGCGCTTACAGCCAATCAGAGGCCGTCGTGCTTTCTTCGAGACGCAAAGGCGGTAGAAGTGAGCGCCATTTTTTTTTTTCTTTATGCTTGTGTGCCTGCTGCTGCCGATTCAGCGTGGTCTGTGGTGTTGCCTGTTGGTGCTCTGTGAACTGTATTGGCACGCTGTCATCATGGCTTGCGCAACGAGGCAAAATTTGTCGTTCGCTGCGAAACTCGAAATCATCAATCGGGTTCAGCGCGGTAAAAAGAAGTCCGACGTCGCCGCCGCGTACAAAATTCCAAGGAGCACCTTGAGTACTATACTGAAGAACAAGGCAGACATCAGGGCCAAGTCGGACAAAAGGCCAGGTTCCCGTGGCGCTCGACGTGTGCGTGCTGCTGTGTACAAAGATGTTGAAGCGGCCGTTTACAAGTGGTTTGTGGACGTTCGGTCGCGAAACATCCCGGTGTCTGGCCCTATGATCGAGCAGAAAGCCAAGGACCTTGCTTTTCTGCTTGGCAGGAATGATTTCCAAGCCGGTTCAGGCTGGCTTCAGCGGTTCAAAGAACAGCACGACATCATTGGCAAAGCTGTTACAGGTGAAAGCAGAGCGGCGGACCTGGACAGAGTAGAAAAATGGCTCGAGAAAAACTGGCGAGATATGGCAGCAAGAAATAGAGCCCAAGATATCTTCAATGCGGATGAAACCGCTCTATTTTGGCAAATGTTGCCAAACAAGACACTTGCGTGTCGTGGCGCCAAGACAAGCGGCGGCAAGGCCCACAAAGCTCGTGTGTCCGTGCTGTTGGCAGCAAATTTAGACGGATCGAAAAAGCTTCGACCTCTGGTTATCGGGAAAAGCACGGCGCCGCGGTGTTTTCAAAATGGGCAGTCGCTTACAGTTATCTACCGAGCAAACTCAAAAGCGTGAATGAACGGGGAGCTTTTCAGCAGATGGCTATCGTCATGGAATAATGATTTGGTAGGCGAAAATCGCAAGGTGTGCCTGCTCGTGGACAATTGTTCATCGCACGACTGCAGTACGACCTTCAGCAACATCGAGCTGCGTTTTTTGCCCCCAAACACTACGTCTGTACTGCGACCACTGGATCACAGCGTTATACGCGCAACGAAAGCCGGCTATCAGAAGCGCCTGGTGGAGAGGCTGCTGCAGAACCTTCGTGTCAGCAGGGAGCTTAAGGGGAGATGCGAGTCGAAAAATCGCGTTTTTAGCGAAATTTCTCGTATTTCTCATTTTTATTGCATTGTAATCTTCAAACCTTCTTCTTTCATCTGTGAAAATTTCAAAACTGAATTCGAACCGCAAAATGCAAAAAAAAAAAATGTGTATGAAGGCATCGCGATGGCTGAAAATTTCGTGAATTTGCGCCGATATTGGCCATCTTTGACTGCGCGCTGCTCCCCGTCGCAGTGCCACCCGCCATCGCGATCGGTTGGGAAAGTTGCGTCCGGCCTTCTTCTTACAGCTCCGACGACCGCCAGTTTCGTACATGGGCAAAAAAAAAATTAAAAACGAGGCTTTTTTATCACGTGGTTTGAACGGTTTGAAACGCGCGGCACCCTAAGCCGCATCGCCATTGGCTACCGAGTCATTGTCAGCTGTGTTGGTGGCGGCCATCGGCATTTGGTCCGTCTGCTTTTCTGCGCGTCTACGCATATTTCTGCGATGACAAGCCCGAAAAAGTGCAACGTGGGACCGCAGAAGTTTCGAACGAAGCACAAGTTCAAGGGAAGGCGGCGTAAAGCGCCCCGAACGACGGCGACGAACGAGAACGCGCCTACGTGTGCTAGGCCTGACGGCGGCATCGACGAGTGCGCGAGCGACAGTGGCTGCGATGAAGGGACAGACGCTGCACTTTCTTTCGTCAGTGCTTCGGAAAAGAAGCTCGGCTTCTTCGAAAAAGACGAAAGACAGCG